GTGTGTGTGTGTGTGTGTGTGTGTGTGTGTGTGTGTATTTGAGGGGTGGAGGTTGAGAGCAGAACACTAGTGCCGATGGTTGTGGGGTAATGGGATGCGGAACCAAGTGGTACATTGCTAATTCTGGTTATTAATGCTAGCTCCACTCCCCATACAGAAGTAGTGGAACATTCAGCAACGAGGGGTTGAGTGAGGGTCAATTTTCGGAGGCATGATGCTGTTGACAGTGCGGGGTGCCCTACTTGGATAACCGGGGAAACACTGCTGTCGGCATCGTCTAATCATGATTTTGATGTACTTGGAATAACTGCACCAGCTACAACAGTATTTTGAAAATTAGCACCAAATGCTTTGTGATGACTTTGCAATAGTTTCATTAAGAGGTAGGATGGGTTATTATGATCAAAGCTGTTACATTTTATTTTCTACAACTTTTTGTAGAGAGCTTTGGAATCCCATGTTGGGACTTTCCTATTTTTTCCCCTGTTCTACTGCATCTAATAGTTCACACATAAAAAGCATTTCATTTTGTTTGAAAAACAATATCAGTGTTTGGTCTAAAATATTCCTTCTGTGGAAGAAAGACATCAAGCCAGTATTCCTACTTGATGGCAGACACTGGGGGGTCTAACAAAGGGCTGGTATGTTGGTAGYGAGACTAAGCTAGTTTGTCTGAAGGGAAGTGCTATCTACAAAGCTCCTTTTGTCTTCTACAGGGTAGTGACAGATATCACTGCAAGAAATCCTGCACAGCTGAGATGCAATCATATTTAGATTATAAACAAAAGGGCTYACATAGCCTTTGATGCTACGTATTTTTAGGAAAAACATACCACCAAGYAGGATTTGTTCCCATTTTCTTCTGCAGAGCTGTTTGTGGAGTCATTCATCAGTGTCACCCATCTGAATCAAAGGCTTTTGTTCAACTAAAACATAGAACTTGTGTTAAAAAAAGGGGACACCTCCTTCCCCTTATTAGGCAGCACTTCTCAAAGCAGTAGATGTTTCCCTCCACCTCAGAGAATACGGGGCCCATCAATCCGTCAAGAGGTAAAAGAGAAGCCCTCACATTCCTCTAGTTCTCTAAATCTTTTCGTCATGACCTGATGACCTACTGCATTTATGCCTGTCATTACGTCGTATTATAGGGCAGTTTCACACTGGTAAAGAACACTGATTGGGCAACTATGCAATTTTAGACATAGAGGCCTCTCTGTAAATTGCTCAGTATGGTTCTTTTGKTGGATCTTTGGAGCGATAAAACCCGAATTATTGGATTTTTGTGGAACAAAAACAGAGATGGATGTGGATTGTGTTAAAAAGTTGGAGCTCTTGTGTTTTTTTAATCATCATGTACAGCCATGCGGGAAAAAGAATACACACTTTTTCAATTCTAGGGCGCTACAATTCATAATAAAAAATAATCTGGTCTTTTCTGGGCAATTCCTATTTAACCTCAAGTACACAACAACCCAGCAGATTCTACTATGTAATTGTTTATTACTGCAAAACAAGCCCAAATCATCACCCCTCCACCTCTGTGCTTGGCAATTGGTTTGAGGTGTGTGTGCTGGTGTGTTTTTTTGCTTTCCCAAAAAATGACAGTGTGTCCAAACGTCTTAACTTTGGTTTCATCTTTCCAACACACACACTGTTTTAGAAGGATTGTGGCTCATTCAAATTCAACTTTACAATCCTACATCATGCTGCCATGTTTGTTTTTTTTATTTAGAAGAAGCTTTCCTCTGACAAACCTTCCAAACCTGCTTGTTCTTGATCTACTTTCTTTTTTCAATTACTATATTTCTTGGAAATTTGGCAATTTTCACAAAGATGATTGCACTCAGTTCCTCGCAGGCACATTTTTAGCCTGTAAATCGTCAGCGTGTACTCATTTCAAGCCTGTGATATTTCTAACCCCCTTTCAATGGTGCATCAMAAACATCTGCTGTGTCCTTGCTGTCCTAAAGACCCTCATGCAGACAGTATCTTGCACTCGGTGTCGGCATCATTGCTTGATGAAGCACAAAACCCCAGTGGGACACTGACCGAGCTTTTCCTGCTCCCTTTTATTCAACACGATCACGTCCTTGACAGACGAAAACAAAAGCTCCACAGCGCTGTGTCAACATCAGATGGAGCAAATCCAAATTAGACACAACCTACTGTATCACTGAGCCAGGATTTCTGGTTATTCATCGTTTGTTTGCTCTACGCTCCTCTTAATTAATGCTTGATGATGTGTCTTCCACAAAGGCTTTCAAACAATGTTGGCCTCAAACAGCGTCGCACTGAAGTTTGTTTGATGCGCCGAGGAGGACAGAGTTCATTAGAGACTTTTGCTGAGTGACAGACATGTGTGCGATGGGCATATGGATGCTCCACGGCRCTAAAAACCATGACGGGCAGGCATGACCTCTTTTTGGCAAGCTGCTGTGTCAAGGCACCGTGACTGCGTAATCTTCCCTGAGGATTAAAACAATGCAGATTAGATATTTTCCTCTCTCTCTCTCTCTCTCTCTCTCTCTCTCTCTCTCTCTCTCTCTCTCTCTCTCTCTCTCCCTCTCTCTGCTTTCCCATTCAACTGAACTGGTCTGTTTTTTTTAGCATAGATCTTCTTTTAGTATTCTTTTTTTTACTGGGTCAGGTTCACCATATCTGGTCGCTTTGGGGATCACTCAGGCCAAAGCAGGTCTCACCTGCCATTCTTTTGCCTGCTGGAGCAGATGGCATTTTTCAGTGACCCCAGTCCACACCTTACAGGACAAGGAGGTGGCAGACTGGGGGCTTTCCACAAAGCATGTGAGAAGGGGGACTCAGCAGGAGATGCACTCCGTACAAGGCAGGTTGCATGAAGCAATCAGCTGCAGCTGCAACCTAAACYGAAAA